CGGCGGTCCTCGCCACTATAAACCAACAATACTGACCTAGGAAGACCATCAAAAACTATATCCAGCCAGCGATGAAGCCGATGATACATCGGCGGTGTTGGGAATGACTTGAGCGCCCGTGGAATCAATTCCAAACAACTCCGATAGATCCAAGTCGTCGGAGCTGAACTCCGGCCATTCGTAGTCAGAGGTGAGCACAGTCGCAGTCAACGAGGCTGCTTCGAAGTTGCCGTCCCGGCAAGAGTTCTCGAACAAATCCAGCGTATCATGAAAGTCCAGTGCGAGGCGCTCTCGGATGCGTGTCACGAAGGTCCTGGCGGCGACGTGGTCGGTGCCCAGGACAATATCGCGTTGATAAGTGACTTTCGGGTCATTCCAGTCCCTATGACCAGACAAGGCCTCTCCCAGCGCAGAGGCACAGTCAAGGCGAGTCTCGTAGGGCTGCTGCTGCTGCTGCTGCTCATGACTGCTCGGGACAAAAGTGGCTTCCGTGCTAGTGAGGGTGTCTAACAGGAGGGCATCACTAGTAGCTATGCAAGCAAGATCACCTCCGCCCACCATTACCTGTGACAGGTTCAAGAGTGCACTACCCGAGAAGGTGGATTCAGCCCGTCGAAGAGTTGGCTTCATGATGAGAAGATCCCCTGGATTGAGCGTCACGTTTACAGGCTGCAGATTCAAGGCGGGTTGGGCTTCTGCATGAGATCCGGGAACCAGGTTGACCAGATGGTTGACAGCGAGGGTGGGCAGTAGGATGCTGCTCTGAATGCCGTTCTCGCTCTGGTCCCATGGGAGGTTCGGGGGTGCCAATGGCTGACGATGCATGGTGGGTGCCACTCCGGGGCAATGAACAAATTTTGACACCCTATCTGGGCGACAGGCCACAATAATCGCATAGTAGAGTGGGTCTTGCTGGATCATCTCCCGGAGAAGGCCATAGCACTTTCTCCCTAGCTCTTGCCCGTTATTGTCGTATGCATACCGAGTCAATGCATTTTGCACCCGCTCTCCGATGCCATAGCCTTTCAAATAATTGAGGTATCCTGGAACAAGGAGATACCCCTGCTTCTGCCAAGAATCCCAGTCTAGGCTCGCCCCTAACAACTGTTCAAGAGTCGAAGTCTCCACCACTGTTACATCGTTGATAGCGAGCTCAGGCGTTGCCTCTGGGGGGATGGTGCGGATGTCGAAGTTCGCCAGCTCTTCTGCCTGACTCTGTTCGGCGAGTGTCTGCTTCGCTTCCCCATTTCGGAACTCCTCCAGAGCCTGGATGATCTCCCACCGGGGCTTTTCCCCCGTGTCTGTCTGCATCATCAACTGATACAACTCCCCAAGGTGCTGGTCACATATTTGGCTCCAGGAAACTGAGTAGATCCAGTCCGTGAACTGATCCCATTCAAGATCACGCATTGGAGAGTTTGTCTTCGAGAGTAGAGCCGTGAAAGGAATGCAGCTCGGTGCACATTTGCATATGTCATCAATCTCAGTGGCTGCGACGGATTCATCTTGAAGAAAAATGGTTTGTCAGCCCCGATGAAGCTTATCTAGGATTGCAGAACCAGATATCAGGGACCTTGCCTGTCCTTGGCCGCCTTTTAGGCTGAAGGTGCTGAATAGTCTGCAGGGCACGGTTGACGTCGCTCGCCATTAGATAGGGATATTTTCGGCTGCGGGCAGGGCGCTGCTTCATCGATTTGTGGAGCAAATCGACCGCCTCGGTCAGTCGGCTCGCTTTACTGAGGGCTGCTAGCAACGAGAGCAGGTGCTTGCTCCAGAAAGGTGGCTGAAGCTCGCTCGGGAGCGCCGAAACATAGCTAGTTCGCCAATTCTGCCAGATGAGTCTGGCGCTCAGCTGTTTGGCACGATCGCTCTTGCTGTGGCGTAGCAGGACTGGGCTGACAAGGTTGTTATAGTCAATGGATTGACTGTACTCTTCCAGGCTTCCAAAACTCGTGGACCAAATCTGGTTTTGGCGAACATGGTCCCACGCTGCGCTAATCAGCGCAGCTGCTTGCTCGTCGATGGTGGTACCCCGGGTCAAGACGTCGGTAAGGACATCCAAATGTTCCTCCACGGGGTACGACTGCAAGAAGCACCGGACTATATTCTCCGGACGACTGCCCGGGCTCTGCAGTAACTGTTCTGCAATGACATTCGTATAGCCCATGTTGGTTTGATTACTGTCGTGTCTTCTTTCTGTGGCTTCCCAATGCTATCTCAATCCCACTTATATATTGCATCGTCTAAAGTTTCCTGGTTCATCGCGCTTAGAGCGGACCCACATTGCGGATTGCCGGTGTCAGGAGTCTCGCCCTATGTCAAAAAGTATCGCACGGATCTGCATTCCTTCACTCAAAGCCCAAGGCGTTCATGGCACCGGTGACACCTACATCCCCTGTTCACTGCCAGGAACAATTCGTAATGTAACCTCCGCTAACCCTTCTCGCAAGCTAACAAGGCACTAAAGCCTATAGTCAGCTTCATGTAGTCGCTCTTGTTGCCTGATTGGCCCACAGATCAATTATCCACTCAACAAAAATGACTCTCCAGGCTTTTACCATGTCTGACAGATCGGAAATGGAGGGGTTACAGTCCGATCCGGGAGGACTGGCCTCGATCGAAGCCTTGGTGGACTATATGGAGACGAGAGGAAACACCCAGGAACACCCCCATCGAATCTGCGCTTCCTTCCAAGACGTGATCAAGCCTATCCACCATATGGCTCTCCGTACACTGAAGATCTGCCCAGACCTCCTCCTCTCCCCGAAAGAGCTACACTGTTGGCCCGAAGACGGGGAGAACCGACGGGCAAGGTGACGGCAGCTCCACTTGCATTACTGCAGTTCGGCAGTAAGAAGTTGATCTGATGTCTAAGATCAGGTGCGATTTTAGCCAAGCATCAACCACCCTGTGACGGCAGGACGGAGACAACCTACAGAGGAAGTTCATTCGTTTTCTCGATCGCCACCCATCTCGTTACATATTTCCTCATTTCGCTTTTCCCGTCCGCCCAACAGGTGTGTAGCTCACACATTTCCCGGTATGCGCAACGAGTAATGCTAGCTTTGCACATAGCTTCATGGGAACTCGTATATGCACGAAGATCTCACACGATCCGCAGGAATATCTCCTCTCCGACATTCAGGTAGCGGGGGCCTGCGAGATAGGAAGTTGACCGGTGCTCCACATGCAGAGCCTGCACATATTGTTGCATAGGCTGATCAGTATACAGACGCTGCTACCGGGCACTCTGTCTGGTTCATCTTCGAGGCGGCTAGGAGGAAACGCAGGGGCTGAGCATGTGCGTCGGAAGACGGCCATTCCACGTTCCCCACGCCACCCCCCTGCGCACTGCATAATGGCTTGGCTGAAGAAACAGCAATCGTAGACTAACTTTTTGCCACCAATCCTACCAAGGCTAGTATGCAGCTGCTGCATGGACCTCCACCTAAGGCTCCTGGATTCCTGGTTCTGACTCCCGGTGGCCCTGCACTCCCGGCAATCCACATTCGGAGAAACTTATTTTGCTAAACCCACACGTGAGCTGTCATCGATTCGAGGACGGCTCTGCACATAGGGCAAGCTGAGATTTGCGCAAGTAGCACTCTCTCCGCCATAGAACTAGCACAGAGGACTTAGCGTTGTAGACATCTCAGCTCGAAAAAAGAAAATACGGGAAAGGAAAAGAAAATGAAAGAAAAAGAAAAGAATTGTGGAGAAAAATAAAAAGCAAAAAGTGACCGAGAGTTACTACGTCAATGCACGAGCAAATCATAAACCTTACACATCCGGGACTGGCCAACAGCAGCGTGACGATCTCCGCCGTGACCAAGACCCAGTGTGCTAAACCCTCATGTGGAGCTTCCAGCCCTCATATTTTCGATCTCGGCTAACCCCCTGGCGCGATCCGCGGCTCCAGATCATGATTACTCGGGTGTTGGCTGGCGGGACCACCGGCAGTGTGATTGAGGAGTCTGTGAATAGCCTCGTGAAGCGCTCGCCTTCCGATAAGCTCTGCTGCTCCTTGACTGTCATGCTGCATCCAGACCCGAGACCTCAAGAGCAAGAGTTCCTTGCCTCCAATTCTCCGCTCAAGACATGCGCTATGGAGGCCAAGAGAGGAGCTCGAGTCTCTAAATGCTGCTGATATCATTCGAGACGCCTTTGCTCAGTGTAGCCGTCACTGTAATTCTTTTTACGTGGGTTGTTTCTACGGCCAAGTTGCTGCAATCAGGTGGGATGCGATGGGCATGAACGTTTTGATCAAGTGCGTGCAATGGTCCCTGGTGGCCATTCAAGAGGACCATCTCTCAAACATGCGGAATTGCGCTTTTCAGGGTTCGCTGCTGCAGCTAGAAGCCCAACGTGGTTAATTGGGACGGAGGCCGGGGGTAGATGGTAGTCACCTACACACAGATCCCCACCACGGTTGTGAAAAGTGGTGTTGGAGGCGAGCCTCACCTCGATAGTAGCGCGAAACTGCTCCATGTACCACATTTGGAGCGCATCACATGGAATCCCTGCCTGTGTCAACAATATTGAGGCGGACTCCTCCTTATCTACTGGACAGGATGTCGCCCCGGTTGTGGAAAGCAGTGAATATCTGATTGCTCGCAAACACAGTCTCCCAACTTCCCCAAAGTGAGACACGAGTGTCTCGATATGTACTGAAGTGTACGTGATGGAAATTTATGTCATACATTGTTTAGTACATAGAGGTAAATTTGACTCACAAATAGTCCCCGAACCGATCCTCCACTACTTATATTTTCGACTTTCAAGGACTATTCGAAACCATATATCCCGAGTTGCGACCAACTGCCAGCCTCGCGTCCGAGGCCCTGTTGCATTATGCTCGTCAATGCTAACTTCTAAGTGAACTTCAACAACGCATTGCCTGAACAAGCATGTGTTCACTAGATTGGGTGAGGTAATCCTGAAATAGTCAGATCTTGGGGAATAACACAGCTAGCCCAGGTTGGCTAAGATTTGACGAGTAGTGCTGCCACTAGAGGCATCCATAAACAACACCCGGCCTTGCATGTGCAGTAACGCAGGCAAGGCATAACAGGAGTAAAATAAGGAAAGCTTGAGGAGCCCCCTCTCTCTCAGAACTCAACATTCTACAAACGATTTGAGGGTTCCTCCTCTCCCACCGCGGAGAATCAAGCACATCCTCACTACTCCAGCAGCACCTCCCGCAACCTCACAACCTCATCCTCGGAGAACCCAAGTTTCCTCAGATACCCCTCCCCGCCACCATACCTCTCGTTGAATAGCCCCAGAAAGCCAGACATATACTCCTTCGCCGCACAGAGATACGATCCAGGGGCAGCATAGCAACCCGACCTCGCTCCTGCCCCCACTCCCAACTCATCCCCTTCTCCCTCCCCGTGAAGCCGCCGCAACCCCTCCATGCGCTCCCGCATCCGTCCTGCCACCTCCCCCTCCGAGCGATGATAATCCTCCACCACATCCGCATCCGCCACGCCCAGCGCCTTCAGCAAGATCGCCACGAAGACGCCCGTGCGATCTTTCCCGAGCTCGCAGTGCACCAGCACACTCCCGCCCCCGGCTGCCGCTGACGGATGCCGCAGGAGGTAGGCAAAGAGTTGCCGGAAGGCTGGGGCGCCGGACTCGGCGAGGAGGAGGTAGGTGCGTGTGTAGGCGGCGGTGCGGATCGCGGCGTCGGCGGCGCCGCTCTCTGCGAGGAAGCGGGCGAGGGTGGCGCGGTGGTCCTGCACCTCTGCGGCGGGGACGGGGTGCAGAATCGCGCACTGGACGAGGGACGGGGTGGATGTCGTGAGTTGATGGTGTTCGGCGGTGGAGCGGAGGTCGAAGATGGCGGTTAGGTTGAAAGAGGTGATCAGGCTGTCGAGCTGGTGCTGGGAGAGCTGGTCGAGGCTGCCAGACCGGTAGATTAGGGCTTTGCGGACGCGGTGGTTGCTGGTGGTGGGGAGGCCGCCGATGTCGCGGAAGTTAGGGGGGTAGTAGGTCGTAGGCGGGATTTGAGTCATCTTGGCTAGCGGTTTCCTGCTGGGGCTTTCCTCTCAGGAGTAAATTATCTCTTTTCATCCACGGATCTGTGTTCAAATCTGTGTTCTCTTTTTATGTTTCTGTGCCTTTTACACTGGACCACGGGCGTACTCCCGGACCTACGATCTCCGGCTGTCGTGGCCAATACACAAAGGGTGACAAGGTCGCGAATGCTGTAGAACAAGAAACTAGTTGCCTAAAATTGGAGAAACAGTAATAATCGGACCTATTCTTGCATTCTCAGAGCCCCAGGCTTGAGTCATACCATAGCTGTGATAGTATCTCGAGACACCTGACTCTAGGTAGACTTAACCTACAGTCAAGCCAAGGAGGACATAGGTAGAGGAGGTATAACCTAAGGTTGATGATATGCTTTGTTTCTATATCAAACTCGTCTTACTCAGCCTGATATACAAAGAATTCATATCCTATGTTTATGTGAACCGTGAGGAAGGTAACTAATTTTCAAACTCATAAAATATCTTCACTTACAGCCAGTAGAGGGGGGAGTCCAGATTCCAACAGATACAACATACAACTACCTTCCAATTTATCCAAGGTCAAAATTAGATAACTTTAGGGGTTTTTTCAAGATCTTGATCAGAATTTGCTTTCAAAGAGAAGCATTCAAACAGATGGCACTTCAACAGCAGATTTGTCAATAGAATCGATCAATGAGTTGATAAGAAGACCCCCATGCCACCATAAAGCTTCCCCAGCCCTAAGCCCTAACCCTCTAGTCTAGTCACTTACTGCGATCCTGAATTGTCTCCAAACAATTCTCAAATACCCTTCTCTTCAACCCACTCTCCTCACTTAGCGCCCCGATTAGATGCTCAATCCGACCAATCAGTCTGCTCCGGTACTCTTCGAATTCACGCGGCAACTCCAGCTGATCATAGACCGTCTTAACCCTCGCTTCCGCCACCGGATCCGCCAGCCCATACTCCCGCTCGAGAACCGCCCGCTGCGCAGCGTCGCCCTTCAGCAGCGCCGTGACAATCAACCACGAGCACTTGCCCTCGCGGATATCCGTGCCGTCCTTCCCCAGGACTGCCAGCGAACTGTAGTTATCAAAGTAGTCATCCTGGGCCTGGTACAGCTCCCCCATAGGGGTGACGAGCCGCATGCACGCGGCCAGGTTCTCCGGGGAATCCCGTCCGTGCAAGGTCAGCGCCAGCGCAATCGGGAGGAAGAAGGTATAGTATCCCGTCTTGGTATGGGCGATTGTGCGGTACTGGTCCATGGTATGGGTGAGGAGACCCTTCTGGCGCTCCGCGGCCGCCACAGTGTCGGAGATCTGGCCCGCGGCGGTCTGGAAGGTCGCGGCGTGGAAGAGGTTGGCGAGCGACTGGTACATGTCTAGGTTTCGACCCAGGTATTTCTGAAGCAGGACGAAGATCCCGCTGTGCAGGAGGCTGGCGTGCATGGTTGCTACAGAATATGTATTGGCTAGAGGGCTGGGAAGGGTTTTGCTGGGAAGATACTTTCACCTACCTAGCTGTCCAACCCCCTCCAATGTGTACCAGCAGGGCTTGCCGCGGCGCATTGAGGACCCGTCAATCAGGTCGTCGGTGATGAGAAAGTAGGCCTGGAGGAGCTCAACGCACCAACCCACCACATTAGCATGTAGGGCTTCGGTTGTGAAGAGCTCGCGGTCCACGAGGATAGAGGAAGTCGAGGCTACGAACTTCCCCCGGCGGCAGTTTCCACCCGTGGTGTTGTACTCGATGGCCTGGTATGGTGAAGGATGCAAAGTTACTTTTCAGTTGCTATCCGGTCTTTGGGTTCCCTATGATGAGTGGAAGCACGGGCAAAATTGACGCACCTTACGGTAGCTTTCCACCAGTTCTGGGCCCAGGCCCATTGCCGTGGCATATTCGCAGAGATCTTGCACCAGAGCAGGGAGGTAGCTTTGGAAATCGCTCATTGTCGGTGCTAAGTGGTCGATTTTTGATTGACGAATGAGGTTCTCTGAGTGCTCGACGGATAATCCACTCTAGACTGTTCTTGAGACGAGAATTCGTACCCGTAATGCCTTGTCACTATTTATGGACTGGCTCACTTGGATTATCCTGGCTACTCCCGGTGATTTCGACCCCCGGGGTTCATTTGGACAGTCGGGACACAGAAAGTTGACCCGAGCATACCTCGTCCGATTCGATGAAAAACAACCCGGATCAATGCAACAAAAGTCTTTTTTCTCCAATAAAGAGTGTATGATACGCCATAGAGAATAGATTCTCGTCATCAACATGCGCACAGGACCTGAGTAAAAGAATTCGATTTCTACAATAGTTTATTTATATTCTTATTTTGTCCATACACACTGTCTTTATAGCAGCATATTGTTTATTTCTGGTCACCAAGAGATGAATAATGGCAATTAACGTTAACTCTCATTAGCATAGCACTAAACCTACAACGCCCCCCAGCGCAACACAGCTTTGACAGCCCTCCCATTCCTTACATCCGTAAAAGCTATTTCATAATCTTTGACCTGGTAATAGGTGACCAGTCGCTCAACCGGAAACTCTCCCTTCTTGTTCAGTTCAAGCAGGTATGGAATAAGCTGGAGTAGTAGTTAGTCTCGCATAAGGTAGAGTGTAAGGAACCAGGGCCTAAGCCATTCAGGTAAACACAAACCACTTGACTACTACTGTCCCCAAGCATCGAGCCGATGTACTGCTTGCCACCACATAGATGCGACAAAATGTCGAGTTCGACCGTCGGCGCCGACGAGGGCATGCCGACGGAGGCGCCTTTCCCGCGCAGTGCTAAGGAATCCATCATGATGCGAATGACGGTAGCCGCGCCCGTGCAGTCGAGAGCATATCGAACCCCAACGGAATCGGTGTCTTGCCGGATCTTACCGGCGACATTCTCAACCTGGGTACTGTTGATGACGTGCGTTGCACCCAGCTCGAGTGCGAGGTCCAGTCGCTCCTGGATCCGGTCCACCGCGATGATCGGATGCGCGCCCCGGTGTTTTGCGGCCATGACCGCCGACAGGCCAACAGCGCCGACCCCGAAAATGGCAACCCCTGCCCCGGATTGCACATCGAGTGTGTTGAACACGGCTCCTGCACCGGTCATGAGCCCGCAGCCCATCGGGGGCAGCGTCGCGAGGTCGACCTCAGGCGCCAGACGAACCGCGCACGAGGTGTCAACGACCGCATACTTGCTGAAGGATGATTGCCCGAACCAGTTGCCAAACAGCCTCTCACCAGAGGTGCTCATCAGGGCACAAGAACCGTCGGGACGGGCCCCAGAGGAGTTCCGAGCCTGCAGGCTCTCGCAATAGGAGGTATGCTGGGACCGGCAATGGTTACACGAGCCACAGGAGCTATATGATAGCATGATGTTATCGCCCGGATTGAGATGGTGGACTCCCTCGCCGACTCTTTTGATTCTTCCGGTGCCTGGGATTATTATGGTGGTGCTGGTTAGCAGCGGGGAGAAGCTCCGCGATAATTGGATATGTCACACTACCTTCATGTCCTAAAACGCCTGGGCCGGGCATCGGCAGTATCCCATCAATCGCGAGTAGGTCGGTGTGGCAAATACCAGATGTAACAATCTGCACCAGAATCTCATCTGGCTGCAGGTCCACGATTACAATATCTTCCAGACTCAACGACTTTGATTCTGATCGGACGACCAATGCCTGCGTTGAAAGTGGTTGCGACATCTTCCAGGAGTAGGATGGGGGTGTTGAAAACCCGTAGGGTGACCATAAAAGTGAATCTGAGTTATCAAGTGCAGATTGTCGTAATAGGTGCTGAAAGTGAAGTATCACTGAGTCCCAACAACACAGTGTGCGATTTATAAAGAGTTGGTCGCAAGGTAGCAGTGCGGATTTCGGACCAGGATTCGAGTTGAGATTCGACATCCGGGGCAGGAACCGGCTCCGATGCTAACGTACCCGGAGGAAGAAGGGACAAGAGAAAACGAACGCGAGTTAGAATTGCAGATAGAGATTTGGTCCCGGGAGTCCAGCTGTGGGTATTTTTTCAACGCCAAGTTCATGTAAGGTTAATTCTGGCATAGGGCTAATACTATCTGACATGATGCTCTATAGATGCCGTCTAGCAACGTTATCTGTGCCAACATTGTGGGACTGGGTTAGGTCACCGATGTTAAAAAGAAAGAACGGATTTAGATTGAATCACGAAGGCATAACGAGTTTTAAACTTATACATAAGAAACTCAGTAAAGTTCGACATGAATATTGTTGGGGGCACCATGACGGACAAAAAGTGGCACGCGCCGCCTGATACTCAACAGGTATTTCTGTGCTGTACAAACATAGCCTATCAAGGAATAATGTTCGCCGCTCGCATACGATCAAACGCCAGATACCAGGAGCTCCTAATGTCCACCTCCTCGGTGACACTGCCCCAGACCCGATGCATCTCCGATACATCCAGCTGCCGGTCGAAGTCAAGCATGCTGAAGATGACCTGCGATACAAACTCCCCGGAGACGGGGCCCTCATCCGTGACAAAGTGACCTCCAGACAGGCCTTGTCGCTTCTCCACCTCAACCCATACTGCGCGATTCTCCACGAAAAATTGCCCGGGATCGGGCCCAGGGCCGTCTCCCCCGTTCGGGCCCACACCATGAAGCCCAAAGTATTCGCAGAGTATTGGCCACCGCTCCGCCCAGGTTGTGGGACGGACAGTATCCGCGGTATTGAACAGCCGCCCGTTCCCGGACTCCTCTGGATGCAGGCTCGCGTATATGGCGAATCGCGCGACGATGTCCTGGCTGCATTCACTGTTCTGCGCCCCCCACGCCGTCGCCGTCCCGGGGAAGGCGACCGTCGCACCGGTCCCGTGAATCTCGCAGTACAGGCTGAGATAGACGGCGAGCAGCTTGGCCATCGAGCGGAAGCTGTGCGGCGCATACCCCACCACCCCGTCGGGGATGACGCCGCCGTAGGTCCACGACTTTCCGGCGGAAAGGCGCTTCAACAGATCCAGTTGGTGGAAGTAGAAAAGCCCATCGTCGAAGGGCGCCGGAAAGAAGACTTGTGTCTCCCGCAGAGGGAGCTCGCTTTCCTGAGCGAAACTGCTGACGCGCTGCAGGCCGTATATCTGAGGAAAATCGTGTCGCGGGGCATGTTGTTAGTGCGACGGAGAAAAAGCATTTCGTTGTTAAAGATGGCTCTTGCATACGACATACCTTGACACCCATGGTCATCATTACGAATCGCAACTTTGGGCTGAGAGCCTCAACGGCTGAGATTGCCCTCTTAAGCAGTTCTGTGTTGGTCGTGGTTTCAGCCTCCATATCAGGTCCCTCGAGGTACGCGCAGAAGAAGACGGTTGTAATGGACTCCACGTCTGGCACGTTAGCACTGATTCGGGCGTTGAGCTCTTCCTGTGTCCCTTGGAGCAAATTCACTCCCTGGACATGTTGCAGCTTGGGCGAAGACGGCCACTGTAAGGCCTGATGCTGTATGGGTCGGTTGGTCAGCGCCGTAACGCGATCGAAGGCTGCGGGCTCGGGATAATCATTAAGCAGGGCATTCACAACCGCCCATCCCGTGATCCCGGAGGCTCCGAAGATAAGGGCATGACTTCGGCATGCGGGTTGGAAATTCTCGACAGAGGTCATATTGATTGGTTCCAAAAAGGGTCTTTGGGGGGGGGGGGGTTCAATTTCCAGAAGATATGCTTGCACGGGTAGATAAACGAGAGAATTCGGTGAGTGTGCAGGGATACTAATGGAATACTTGACCACTGGCTGAGGGAGTCGACAATCAGCTCGCTGCTGCTAGTGTGAGTACATTATATTAGACAATTTTGGATGCATTGTTGTTCTGTGTCTGCACTGCCGGGTCTTTTGCTCCCGGCGGTCGGAAAGCCCAGGTTGGAAGACGGTAGTGATATCTTCAAGCTCTAGTCAATCACAGACAATTCACTTATTTATTGTCTTGTAGTACTCTGTCTCTTCTTGACCGTCGCTTTTGTTGAATGGTAATCAAGTAATGTGTTTGTCAAGGATCTGGGATTATGGATGAAGTCAAACTACGCCCGGCTATCTGAGAAATTTATCTAGGCAGCAGGGTCGTCAGCAATCTGATTTTCTATCATATCTAGAAATACTTAGTGGAATAGAGTAAAAAAGCAGTATGAATAAATGATCTGTTATTTGAAGCTAAGATGCAAGATATAAGAAGCCTATATGGCAATCTATCCAGATTATAGAAAAAGTCATACTAAATAAAGTTGTTAACTAGGAAAAGATTAAACCGGTAATAATCTTTTTGTTTTAAAGTAAGCTCGGATTAGTTAAGAGAAGCAATGGTAAACTATTATTGTTCATGTATCTTCCCAAGTTTTTCTCAGCAGCTTCAAAGTTTTTTCGGTTACAGAAAAGTTAAAAAAGTTTTTTAGGAATAAATCGACGACGGTAGTCAAATCTGATTTTTTTATAATTGATTCGAATGCTGTCGCTGTAGTAGGCAGCGGTATTCGATGCTGCATATATATGCGGATAAAGTTGGCAATCTTTCCAGTATCTTGTCCGAGATATTAAAACTAGCATGTGAGATAAGAACCTTTGCTGCTTAAGCCAGAATGTATTAACTTTAGGGCTTTGCCATAGTGCTTTTCTGACTATATTAAAATTAAGATCATAATCTTGTGCCAACAGCAACTCTGTAGATTCAACTTTTTGATTTTAAATAGCATATACCAAGATATTTTCTGTAATTTGAACTGCTTCTGGTTCCAGGCGAGTTAGAAGTAAGCTTATGACCGGGCTTGGGTGCTTTCCCACGGACCTGGGCCTTGGTGCCTGAGGTGCCAGCGCACCGCCCACGCGGCTGCCTTAGCTAGTTCTTCAAGATAGCCTCACATAAGAGAATCAATCCTTCTTCACCTCTCCGAGAGGCGCTGTCGCCATCAATGAAGCTTTGATTACCTCTTCCGAGATTCAGACTTCATTTCAGTGTCTGTGAAGTAGAATGCTCATCGAACAGACGTCTCTTGCCGTGTTGGCGACTATCTCTGGTTTCACTGAAAAATAAATCCGAATTCTGTTTATATATAAGCTTCAGCACCCTCCCTGTGCGTTCTGAGTTGGTTACCATATTGTAGAGCATCGCTATTATCGTAGAACAGTCGCGCTGTCGATCCAGTAGTAAACTAAAGCGCCGGGGTGACAACATACCGCTTCGAATAGTCGATTGAACACAGGGGTTTCGGGCCATCTTTTTAGGATAAATCAGAGTACGGAGCCTGCCCAGGGGACTTCTGTAATTAATATAAATGTATTCTCCAAGAAAAGAAGATTTTAAACTTGAAGATCAAACAGATACCCCATTAAGGCTCTGCTGTGACGGGTATTCTTTGCTACACACTTTAAACTTCTTTCTGTGATGGGAAGATTGAGATGAGAGCTATTAAAATTATTTACCAAAAGCCCCAGTATTTCCCGATTATAGAACTTGGCAGTTTTGTATAATATCTGCTCGGTAATCACAAATCCTATCTACTGTTTATATAAAAGTGTTATTATTATATCCAAGCCTTCAGCTCTGTTGCGTATAATCGCCTGGATATTATTTTTATTGATAATAATATCTTATTCTCATTTGTCGAATATTAAATGTATAATTTTATAGTCGTTTGCTGTATTTACTACAGCGGCTAAAAGAATCTTTTTATTCATTGATTATTTTTGGCAATTTGAGCCCGGACAAAGGTACAGTACATGGACATTTGCTCCATGGGAGCAGATCCCATGGAATGATCTTGCCGGTATCAGATATCTGTAAATCTCAACACCATTTTCCACTCCCCTTCCACTTCGACATCATTTCTCTACCAAGTCCAGAGATTTCCGAATGCAGAAGGGTTAGACAGATCAGTCGGGTCGGGCCGCAAACTTCGGTCGGGGACTACGCGCAGTTGGGCCCGCCACGGCTACTTCCCTGCCACTCATTCCACTCTATGCTTGTCATACATGCGGTGAGACGTCGTAACATTATAATCATCGGAACCCCCGTGATGCCTTCGACGAAGAACGGTACACGCCACAAGCAAAAGAGGAGTGACTTCCACCCGAGGTCAGAGGGTAGTTCGACCAAAATCAGATGTCTATGACTTGCTGGGAAGATGCACTATATATTGTGACCAAATGAGGTGCAATGCCCTTCGCGCTGCACCAAACCTTCTACGAAGCCGTTGAACGATACCCTCGGCTACTTCAAGTTGTATCCCAAGTCTAGGTGTAGCCTCACGTAGGGAGAATTCAAGCATCTTCCACCTCTCTCGCAGGTGTCATCAGATTCTGAAATTATGATGCATACGCAAAAACGTCTTATAGGGTTCCAATTACCCCTAATCTGTGAATTCCAACAAACTCAATAAAGCTGCAATCCTGTAAGAGACTTGTGTCTCATAATTCAACTAGCCTTGATGGTCTTTCATCTAGGTTTTAAGACTTAGGGAAAGAGGAATACTAGCTCAGGGAGTACTATTTACAAGATATGACCTGACTATGCACTCACTCAGTGTCCATTGTACCTTCCGCCAGCGCTCACTTTTGGAGCAGTAATGACGCAACTGACGCAATGCCGACATTCATGACTCATTACAAAATCTTTCATCTTCATGTTTCTCAGCCTCGTTACTCTAACGCAGTGCAGATACCCAACCCAAACAATCCCAAACGTATCCGAGCTCCCTTACCTCGATCCAAAATGTCCGACTCACCAGACGGTCCCTCCATAAGGGAAGAAGGGCGCCCTCAATGTTCTCAGGACGAAGAAAACTCGCTGCCGTCCCATGCGTCTACCGTATTTCACACTCCGGAGATCCTGAAGATGATCCTGCTAGACCTGGATATGCTCACATTGCTGATTTCACGTCGCGTGTGCCACACGTGGAACGAAATGATCAAGTCCTCGCTCAGAATTCAACAGGCGTTATTCTATATCCCACTTGAGAGCAAGCCACCAGACCAGCAAGCTATGAAGAACCCGCTCGTGGTTGACAAGATATGGTTCGACTTTCTCAGAAAAGAACTTGACTCGCGGTTCAGAGTCTTCGTTCCTCTCTGTAGGGGAAATTGCCAGATTCCCCGCATCGCGTCCGAAAAAAGGGAGAAGGCGTATATGCGTGCCGAGGCGAGTTGAAGACGGATGCTTCTCCAACAGCCTCCAACAGATGTTGTTCGTTTCTGGAACCCGAAAAGCTCCAACATTCCCATTGGGTGGTTTGCTGATATGGCCAATACCCACGCCAAATGGATGCCTAATAAGGATCACATTTGTATGGAGAACGTGGCATATTGGATAGACACTGGGGCGTTTTCACCGGGACCTCTCCCATTTCTATGCTGGGATGATCCAATTATCATGGGGAAAGCTGGAGGCCGCCGGAGGTTGGCTCGAGATTCCATTCTTTCTGGACACCTACTCCGGTTTGATCTCACTATCAACACCGAATCCTACGGATCCGGAGTATGGTGGGGCTCTGCAAATACTCCAGTAAAGCCTTCAACATTGAATACCTGGAGTCACAGAGAAGAGGTCCAACTGCTACAAGGAGAGCCAGCGTAAGCTTTGGAATTTGACAGAGTTGATATGCTATGCGGGTGTTCGCTCCTTCCTATCCTGGAACACTTGAGATTTGATACAGTAAACTTGATATGGTGCTCGCTTCTTCCCAAATCAAAAGGCTGTAGAATATGAAGAGAGCAGAAGTCTATAATCTTAACCTAACTACAGCTCTCTTAAACCCTTAGCCTGCAGGCCTGCAATTCTGTTTCGCCTTTTCCGAAATCCAAAAATGGCGTCTAAGAAGTCGAGCAACCTCTTGAAGAAGATGCTTTTGTGCGCTGTACTAATCTTGTGGCTTGTTTTTTTAACTATGCTGCGTGGATAATACCAATCTTGTTGAACAAGCTCAATGTTTCCAGCCAGTGTTGCAGCATCCGGCTTAGATAGCCTGAGTCAGTAGAAAATAGTCACCCGGGACTCTGACGAATTGGGCCCACTGGACAAGTGGTTGCAGACACGTGCTCCATCTCTAAACACCTAATGAGTGAAAAGGACATTGGTTGGTAGCTTTAATGGAAAATTCATCGGTCATGCAAGCCTCGATCTCATCTAGTGGGGATGTTATGACCGCCTCGATATGAAGTCTGTCTACAGAGTATTGCTCGGCCAGACGAAAAGTCATGCATCTTATGCGCCGGCTGATCTTGAAAACTTTGTGAGCATATCTGCACCGCCAGCTAAGTGACAGGCCCGGGACTGGCATGAGGAAATCCATAGGTACTGGAGCCACAGAGGCCCGACCTCGGAACCCAAACAGCCTTCCCCATTGGGTTAGGTCGGCATCAGCGGGCCAGATGAGCCCGGGGCTGTGGTACCGACGATCGCTTCGCATTCAGGACTTCAGGTATGATGTGAGCCTCCTCCGCAACTGGGTCTTACAGGATAGAATAGGTACCGGCAGATCGGAGAGTCATCACCAGGTCTCCACTGAGGTTCGTAAAGGACCATACCGACTACACAATTGATTCTCTGGCGATATCCATCGTACTCATAACTAAACTCTGAATAGTGGGTCGGCTGAAGATTGCACCAGCGGACTTGATATCCATCTTCCTCTACGCCAATCCGGTCACTCCGGTGGCTTGCAGGATGTCACGTCATAATTATGTCCGGGCCAGCCGATCAAGGGAAGGGATCGTCTAGGCTTACCTGTCAGAATTGCACCGCCTGGAAAATCCCCAATGTCTTTCAAACTGCTTAATGACCATGTTCCACCTGTGTTCCCACCCCCACCAAGGAAATCTCGAGAAACTAGTGTGGCTCTACGCAAATCGACGATTCCAGCATAGGAGGAAGCCATTCGCTACCTACTTCGCTGTGCTCTCCACCAAGGGCCGTGCTTTCGCCCCGGCGGTACGGTAACGAGTAGATTCAGCTGAAGATCTCAGCCGCAGGTATCCACACTATGGAGAAGGGAGCCTGGAACAGAGTGGGCCGTGCGACAAGATGGGTTATGATCGGACACTCTACCACATGCTGGGGTGGGGCTTATTACTGAACATAGGATCCACTGTTCGACACCGCTGGGAACCCTCCCAGCTCCCGAGGCACTTATAAACAGGTAAACAGGTGCTCTGCCCCCTCCAAGTCGTTTTGCTAATGCATCCATCTACAGGCGCATCTCTCTCCATTTAGCAAGCGAATTAAGAGGCTTCTCTACAAAAATGTCTTCTTTGAAGGTAAGTTGTTCCTCGATTTTAATCAAATTTGGCCCTAGGACGGTGGTTTTAACATAAGCCGTCCGGGCAGCAAACACTTAGCGAGTACCGTCCTGAAACAAAGGAGTTGGACGCATGGATGAATGAAACTTTTATCTTAATAAGGCAATATCTCAACGGGATAGAGGTGCTGAGGTACGTTGCTTTTTACCATCTTTTATCTCTCTCTCTCTCTCTCTCTCTCTCTCTCTCTCTCTCTCTCTCTCTCTCTTTTCTTTTTTTTAGGAGGAGGGGGTGTCATCCCCGGGCTTTTGCAAAAGAGTATACCACTAATCTTTTTTGATTTGCCATAGACATAATGTAGATTGGCGGGCCATTGCATACCACGCCATGTTCATCTGTGGCTGGTGCGATCGTTTCGATGTGACCGATGCCAAGTCCACGATGCAACAGGTTCAGGTCAAGTGCATTGAGTTCGGTCAAGCCCACGACATATTCACGAGTCGGGAAGGGAAGCATGGCCAGCCTTTGAGAAGGCCTTCTCCCAGGAGAAGGGTTTGGAGTCCCTCCGGACCGCATTCAGCACATTGGCGGGGCCCCGAGCGAAGCAGCTCGGCCCTCAGATCGTCGGGCATATGCTGGAACGTTATTCCGATACAACAATAGAAAAGTTGATCGACATGATGGTCGGCCGAATGTTGATCAGTAAGGCAACCATTAACCTCGTCAGCTTCGGCCTTGGAAGAGGTTTGATCGGAAACGGTGATTCGGAAGGCGTTGATCTCTCTGCATCCTGCGGTCGGTGGATCGGAAAGGTCTACGCTCAGGAGGCGCAGCAGCAGGCAGCCATGGATGAGTATAAGGCGCTGTGGAAGCCCACCAGCGACTTTATCGCACAGAAGGTCCTGGAGGCCAAGGACGATGCGAATAGCGCCCATAGTGCCCTGAATGCCAAATACGGCACCAGCCTGGACGCGTGCGATCTGGGGACCGAGCTAAAGCCGGCGTTGACGGCCCCAACCTGGGATGCTCTCGGTGGCGTTCACCCGGCCACTTTTGCTGCTCGTTGTCTTGTGGCTGGGATCACCAATGGTTTGAGTGAACAGGCAGGATGGTTTGGTGAGGATAAGGCGGACAATTATTGGCACTAAGATTGATTGAAGATGTCCACTATACATGGTTACAATGGCGGTCGTGGTTGGGTTTTATTGCTGTTGTATCTTAATTTGTCGGTGGACGACACTCTGACGATTTAGTCGTCTGCCCTATGCGGCCCGTTGCAGGAGGCTGACTCCAAGCAGGGTGCTTGAGTATAGACGGTTTCCAAACCTACAACTAGACCTCGGCGGAGTCTCCGACGAAATCTGCCAAGATTTACCTCTGCTACAGATTAATCTACTCAAATGAAAGCATGATCATGAGTTCTGCGTGTTGGACCTCTCAAGTTAGGTACGTATGGGCAACGGCCTTCGTGTCCTGCTTAGGGCTCCGTTGGGAGGAGGCGGCAGGTTTTGCACGTGACGGTACTGACGCATACCCTTATAGTGGGATCAGAAATTGAGAAGCATGCAATAGGTGATATAGTCACCTCAAACCCAGATTAAAAGTCTTTGTCGAATTTGGAACAAACTTTGGAAGTTATGACAAGTTGTGAAATTCGTGGCGAGGGAGGGTAGTACCTATAAAAGAATGCTGTAGGGTAGTGCCGCGTCTCGGTCACGACCTCCGTGGATGAGATCCCCAGGGTGCTGTGCAGGTGGAGGGAGGGGCACCCTCGCGGCGGTTGGGCTGGCGGTCACCGGCGACCGCTGTAGAGGTGTTTGCCAATGTGGTGAAGTATGAGAGGGTGGTGGAGGCTGAGCTGAGGCTTTAATTCAGGAAGTACTGTAAGGTGCTATGAGGTACTGTATATAGCACCAGCGCAGCCGTATGTATGCACGCTTTGCCAGGAACCCATGGAGTCATGAGCACCTGCTGCTGAGGTAGTAGTTGGAGTGATAAGTCGGTCAGCTATTACAGCTGAGAACCATGAACTGATTCAGGAGCTAGCTCGGTAGTGATGCTAGCCATATAATATTTTCTACTACGGATGCTGGTACATACGACCATAGGGTGTGGAAAATAGGGCTTCCCGTCCGCTCAGCCGTACTCAAGCCACACGCCGGGAGGTTAGTAGTTGGGTGGGTGACCACCAGCGAATCCCTTCTGTTGTATGTTTTTGCTTTTTCTATTTCGACCCCGCCAACAACAGCCACGACCACCATATATTTTCGCGACAGGTCATTCTGGCTTCTTGTCACAGTGGCTTGTAAGCCCTGTGTACATGCGCACAACCTGCGGGTGTCAGGTTTATCACGCTCTTGTCGATCCCTGTAATCTTCGGGTGGCGGTTAGTCAAACACTCCTTCCCAGTTACTGAATTACAATTTAGACTGTAGAGTATACACCGACAGGTTTCTTGGAGATGCATTGAGCAAAGACAATCACATGACGAAATCATTCTCTTGTCCTGAGAAATCATAGAGAATAAGCCAAATCGAGTAGGAATCTTAGCCGTCCTATATGAGCAATCCAAGTGAAATTGTGCTTTCGTCCGCTGAAATCAGTCTGACACTAATGAATGGGCCCCGCTCTGGTCATAGAAAGATGTTCCAGCTGGAGTGATTTAGACATCTCAGGTATGGCATCGAGTGCTACACCTCAGTGGTACTGTTTGCGGTGCCATCTCGGAACCGGGAACCTTCCTGTCGCTACTCTGACGCAAGTCTCCCAATCATGACCATTATCCAGTCAATTGACCATGGCGATGATTCTATGTGAAAAATCCTCGCTCGACCTCGATTGTTCACCAAGATCGCGCAGTTAGGACTGGATCATGATTGACGTAGGAAACTGGGCTACCAGGTTGATCGATGGATATGCCTCAAAGCGTTATCGACGTGAGAACTATCTCCCCGTCAAGTTCTTAGTATCCCCAGAATCTAGAGCCGGCAACCCATGGCGTTTGATGCATTCGGTAGTGACATAATTGACTGTCGAGGTGCAACAGAGAGGATTGAAGTAATCAGGAACCATATTCCCGCCTGCCGTGGAAGCGGATGTCCGCGGACATGTTTGCGTATAGTATAATACTCTAGCAAGCTAAATTAGACATTCAACCAATGTCTAGCGTCAGCATCATGACCTCACTTCGAACGGTCCCGAAGATCTCTCGTCTTGAACTACACGGAACTACCAAATGCAGAAGATCCAGATGGCCTTGTTGCCCCGAAAGGCCTTCAGAGGTGGCATGGAGCTCCACATGACCCAACGCATCACTTCATGCCGTGACATCTGCCAGCAACCGTACCAGCGACGCTCTAGTGGATTCTAGACATCTCCGTGGGGCTATCACGGTGAATCCGTAGCCTAGGCCTCGCCTCCTCGCCGGAAGCATCACTGACCGAGATAGATACAACATCCAGATTATGTCTCAAGCATCCGTTTTCAGTCTCGAGATTCTTCATTTCCCCAGATCTGCCGTCATGCTGATACAGTGCTACTAGTCTGAGCTAGAATGGCACAGTAGCATGTAGCATCGATCATAGTATCTGCAACGTCATTGACTCCGATCAGTGCAGCAGAGTTCACAGAGCTTCCATCTCAGATATCTAATCTCCAATGCAGGACATCCACATATAAAAGGCTCCATGTCAGCGTTGGTAGAGCTCACTATCAGCAGAATCAGAAACAAGGAAAGACCTTCAAGTCTAAGATCAATCGCAAATTCGGAGAAATCCTCAATCAACCTCTTCCAAAATGCCTTCAGCCCCACAGCAGAACGGACCTATTCCAGTCCACAGCAAGGCCGTCCACCACAAGACAACCAAAGGCGGCGAAGACCCCATCAGCAACTGCGATGCCATCTTCGCGGCCGCCAAGACCGGCAACCGCGATGAGATCAAACGCCTGCTGTCGGAGAAGCCTGACCGCCTCAACATGAAATGCGCCGAATGCCACGGGATCACACCCATCATGGCGGCGGCGATCGCGAACCAACAGCCGGCCGTGGAGCTGCTCTCCACCCAGGGCGCGGACGTGACCATCCGCGACAGCGACAGCTACACGATCCTCAAGCTGACGCTGGACCAAGGCGAGACGCACATCGGGGTGGCGAACTGGATCGTGGCCCACCACCCGGAGCTGATCGTGACGGACCCGCGCCTCCCGCAGGGCGAGGAGTGGCTGCGGGCGCAGTTCGCCATCATGTCCGACAACATCGAGGAAGCGGCCAGCAAGCCGCCCCCGGAGGTCCTCGAGTACCTGGTCAAGGACTACCCGGACAAGCTGCCGGCCGACACGGGCCGCACCGTGGCCGTGGTCTACTGGGAGCATATCCTGCTGCGCTACATCGGCGACATCCCGCTGGACATCGCGCGCAACTACTCGGTCGACCTCAAGATGGCGTTCGTCGGCACCTTCGACCGCATCCTGTACCACCACGAGGGGATCCAGGAGTCGGCCCGCCTGCTGAACAGCGTGCTGCCCACCACCCAGTACAATATCATCGGCACCCACGTCGTCCCCAAGCAGGGCTGGGTGACCGAGCGCTGGGAGTACCATGACAAAGTCCATAACCTGCAGGTGTTGGATGGCATTGACACGTTTCTGATCGATGGGAATGCGGGTAAGATCGAGGTCATGCTGATCAACTACAATGTCTACGAGATGGAATGGGTGGATGATCCGGAGAAGGGCAAGCCGGGCCCTGGGAAGGTCTGTCCTTCTGCGAAGGCTTGATGGGTTTTCGGCTGGCTGTATGTGTAGGTGGTAAAGCTATCTGGTAAATCCTCTTCTGTCGTTGCTTTATGTCTGCATGGTAATTTGGAATCAGGTGCGGTTGTGTTGGAGTGGTTATCTAGAAACGAAGCAAAAAAAAAGTAGAAAAATAAAACCATGTTTTTTTCCGCTTGGATTGATTCTTGCAGCACCTAAGAGTGTATATTTGTGCTTTTATCTTTGAGCTATGCACGTAAAGATTGATAGCATGGAGTTTTGAATGATGGTGCATGTAGCGTTCGGGCTGGGAAGAGGACCAGCAGCCTATTAAGGCCGGGTATAGGGTTTCACTTTGAGGGATTTTAATACTTTCTAGATATACTATATTCCCCGAGGATAGATACATAGACCCGGCCTTAAGCTTTAGTGGTCCACCCAATCATCTACCCAGGATATATATGAGTGGTGAATGAGAACGAATCATATTTTGTCTGCTGGTCAAAGTAATTTCACGAGTCTCTGTACACTATAGATCACGCAGTTGATACATCCACCAGAGGTCTTTAGAATGATACAATGAATAAGAGATGCTCTCGCTTGTTGCAAAAAGCCAGAAAAAATGCACAACGTCCCTAGATGTCCTTAGTGGGCCTTTACAGTAGTTCCCCTTGCCGCTACGAACGCCTAACGGCGGTGTTGATCAAATCATAATCATCCCGCCAACAGAGAATAGCCGTCAGCGAGCAACCCCGGCAGGCACAGAAAGTGTGTCTCAGGGCCACCGACGGTCGTTCAACGCATTCCTCCCTCGCGAAAACGCATTGCGAACAGTGTGCCCTTGTTTTCGTTGATTTCTGTCAAATCAAACCAATGTGCCCAATGGTACGTTAGGGTTCACGACTGTAATCTAGATGTTCGGGAAGGCTCGGGCCCTCCCGTGATCCGTCATCCGTCCGGGGTTGGTTCCCGGTAACTTACAATACAGTACCCAGTAGCGGCTTACATATTTCACTATTCAACATATAAATATGTACGTAGTCCAATTCGCTTGCGATGACCCGCAAATTACGAGGGTGTATCTGTCAATCTATCTGCCTGTCTGAGAAGGTAGGTGCCTGGTCTGAAGAACAGCACTCACAAGAAAATAATCTCATCCAGGACTTAGGCGATCACGAATGGGCCTCGTTTCCAGATAACCACCGCGGTTTGCTCTCCCTCCTCACCCACAAGCAAAGCGACATATGAAATGATCGGAAGCTTCGACGTGGCGAAAGATGCGTACCGCTCTCTAGAGAGCGGGTCATATTCAAATCCTTTCAACAAGCATCCGAGTCCTGCTGAAAATCCGCTACACGATGTCACGATCAAGTACAAAGAGAGATTGTTCACCCAATATTAGTACTAGTTTCCAGAATGGATGGCTGTATATATACCAAGAGATAAGCCGTCCCAGTCGTCCAATCATTGGCAGCTCCGTAGCGTCATCTTTAAGTACAGGTCCGCGTCTGTTTGTCAACGCGAGGTCCCAGCTGTGTCAAACTCGTGAAACAAGCATCTTACCACCACTTACACACAAGTATGACTTGCATTCTGTAGTACTTTATTAAATTCTCTAAGAGACGACATTGATCCTTTCATGGAAACGCTTCAGTTTGTCGACCCCTCCGTAACTGGTAGTACATATTCCCCGGCCTACAAAGACGTTGAGCTTTGGTGGTCGCCATGTCCAAGGCCTAATGGACCTGATGCTGTATCAATATACAGGATTCTATGTGATGTAGGGGGTGAGAGGTTGGTTCCGATGGTAGGGCCCTGACCTAATGTTCTTCGAGGGTCTCCTTCGGTTCGTGGGAGGACGGGGGTCTTGCAGTCTGAGGCAACTGGAGCCTATGCTGTTGGAGAAGTTGGAATATGATTTGGTTCGCCGCTAAAGGCTAATATAATCATGCTTTACTAAGTAATAGCCTTACTTGTCTAAGTATTACCGGATCCAGTAATGATCAAGACTACGTGTAAATGTGCTTCACGATACCAAATGTCCGGTGTTAATGGTATATGCTCACAAAAGCAGCAGATATTACTACACTGACATTATAGCGAGAGCTGTATTCGGATGAATGGTCCTACTATGAGCTAGATGAGTAAATAATGCTTCTTCGCAGTGACATCATTTGATCATTCGTAGAGGGAGAAGGACATCTGGTTGCTTTTGATTTTCAAAAGAAAAAGAAAGACCTTCCAGAAACAAAAGAAGGAACTGGGCCCAAAAACATACAACAGAAGGGATTCGCTGGTGGTCACCCACCCAACTACTAACCTCCCGGCGTGTGGCTTGAGTACGGCTGAGCGGACGGGAAGCCCTATTTTCCACACCCTGTGGTCGTATGTGATGGACACTCCTTATTTTTGCATGATATCAAAGGCTCTATTATAATGTATTGTTCCAGCAACATGAACCTATAGGTGGCAAAGATTGAGTACGGTGTTGAGGACGTGGATACGCGATTGACTCAAACTACTTGAGGTTATCTGAGCTGAACCCTTACAATGGGCGTGGCAGGCGGTGAGCAGCTTGCCAGAACGCATGGCCACCTTGGGCAAGAGACCAGACTTTTGCAGAGTGGCCCGCTGTATCCATCTGTAACCAGGCAAGGCAGGGTGCAACAGGCAAGACTTAGAACGCAGGTGATAGACCGAGCTGATATTGTGGTTCTTTCTAACAAGGACATTTCGTGCTAATGCAGAATAATAGTAGACATCGTCACAGTATATATATAGATAAAAGCTCATCCAGAACAGAAGTATGGTCAAGATATAATCAGGTATCCGACAGGCAGGCAAGTGCCACACCCTGACACGACTGTGCAGCAAGCCAGCGTGCTCGACAAATCCCAGAGCACCCTGTGAGAAATGGTTCAGAAATAGCATCCATAACGACTCTGAGAACGGCCCAGATAGTGCTACCGTGACCGCTCTTAAGGCCAGGACCCCCATCATCCTCAAAGCACAGAATAGAGAAAGTCAGAATAGAGAAAATTGACTACCACAGTCTTTCTCAAAGGGTGACAACTGCGGCAAAGACTTTCCCGAACACTTGATGTGGTAAGCTAAACCGACAAACGGAATCAGCTACCAGCTCAAGTATGTTCCTTGTTTCGAGGCCCCGTATAACTACATACCCCATATTCACCCGTGCAGACTTGAATGAATGTAGCTGAATAGATTGGAGGGTTCGGCAAAAATGTAAGAACCTTATTTTGGCACATAGCATTGCAGGTATCATAATAGAGCTACACCTTGGAGCTTCGCGAATAGAGCTAAACAGAACTACTCTACATAGAGGCTATATGCTAGCAGACTGGATTAGAAGAAAGGCATAAGAAGGTCACTTGATATAAAATGAACACTTTCGGTGGGGATGTGGAGCATTCACATATGCATTTTAATACATAACAGAAAAAGCAACTACTATAACTAACCTAACAGGAACAGGAGCTGACCCCCGAACGGCGCATACCATGGTGTTCTATGTTGCGACAAGGGACGCCCTCCCGCGTCAGAACCTTATTCCGACTGTCCTACTGCTGGGTCACCTGGCGCGACGAACTGATCCAGTGATAAGATCCTGTCAAGGAGCGAATGACTTCAGGTAGGATTGGTTCTGTCACCGGATGTGATGAGCACTCCCAATGAAAACAAAGGTAATGTCGTACGAGTACCGGGATTAGGGTTCGGTCCTGCTTTTACAGTCACACAATGCACCACCATCCTTCTGGCGCGTCAACAGGCACACGCATCCATGATAGAGATAAGATATGCTCAGATTGCGCTGTGGGACCCCCCTCGTATAAAGAGACGGAGACATGAAGAAACCCATTCAGCAACCCCACAACCCTATCAGTCTCTACCGATCCTCACCTTTACTTACCCCAGCCCTCAGAAAATGAAAGCCTTCCTCGCCCTCCTCCTTTTCCTCTCACAAACCACCGCCCTCGTAACCCCCTGCATCATCGGCGGCACCGAAGTCCCCATCGAAGCCCACCCCTACCAGATCGCCCTCCTCTACGGTGGCGCCCGCACCTGCGGCGGCAGCATCCTCAGCCCCGCGCACATCATCACCGCCGCCCACTGCGTCGCCAGCGCGGCCCCGAGCCGCCTCCGCATCCGCGCGGGCTCCGCCCTCTGCGACGCCGGCGGAATCGTGGTCAGCGTCGCCGCGATCGCCATCCACCCGAACTACTCCGCCCCGACCGTCGACAACGACCTCGCCGTTTTGACCTTGTCCCGGAATCTGACTTTTGGCCCGAAGATCGCGCCCGTGGGGTTGCCCGCGGTCGGGGCGGATACGCTTGTCCCCGGCGCCGAGGTGGTGGTCTCGGGCTGGGGCGCGACCGGCGAGGGCGCCGCAAACTCCCCGTCCCTGCGGGCTGTGACGGTGTCGGTCGTCGGGAGGGAGGAGTGCCGTGCCGAATATCGGGGGTTCGGGCCGGTGACTGACAGTATGTTCTGCGCGGGGACGCCCGCGGGCGGGAGGAATGCTTGTGGCGGGGATAGTGGGGGGCCTGCTGTTGTGGTTGCCGGCAGGAATGGGGATGGGAATGGGAATGGGAGCGGGAGCGGGAGCGGGAGCGAGAAGGCTGCCCGTGGGGTTTTGGTGGGGGTGGTCTCGTGGGGGCATGGCTGCGGACGGAAGGGTTTTCCCGGGGTTTATGCAAGCACGTCATTTTTGAGGGGCTTTATTGGTCGGGTTACGGGGTTGTAGGATATGATATACCTTGTCTAGTATGTTGGAATGGGATTGATGAGTTCCATAGTGGGTACACAGTAATAAAAGGTACAATAAGGAGCCTTTGCATTTGCATGACGGTATGAGGAAAACCTATCTCAGGGGAAAACTCACACCAAGGCCTAGGACTACTTCGCAGTCCCCAACCCCAGAAACAATATGATAAGGCAACCAGAGTAGCTCGGGGACTATTTTCACAGTGGAGAGTCCTAATCCTCCGATTCTTGTCCTCCGCAGGAAGTGTTCAGATCATCGGACTCGGCGATAGGATCCTTATTGTTCACCGGATTCTTCGAGGTTTCCATCGCCCAGATCCTCCACCCGTTGCTTGACATCAACATCTATCAGTACGCTGGTTGCCACATACACCCTAGAGAGAGGATTGAACTCACGCGCATGGCACATCGTAACGCGGCTGAACCCGGTATCGAAATTGTTCGTGGATGTCCACCGGCTGCTCGTTGAGCTTGATGGGCTGGAGCTCGGGTTGATGCGCGTAGTGCGTGAGCCAGAAGTTCGCCTGGCGAGGTTCTCCTCTAGGTTATGTTAGTTTGTTTACTTTGCAAGCCTTATAAGGAAAAAAACGCCTCGTTGATTCATATACTGTAAAGGTGCATTATACGTACGGTGCCACGTCGTCCCAGTTGATATCCCACTTCTCCCGGGGGTTGATCGTGCCGAAGGTGCCTGGGAACCTCATTTTGTGGTCGTGGTGAGGACTTATCACTCGAGGAGATAACTGTGAAATGTGGAAGGATCAAGTGTCAGCAGCGGGATGTTTGCCTGGGAAACTTGCTGCGAGGGTGGGACGATCTAGGTGGTGGACGTCATGAATTTATAGCCCTGATTCTCTGGCAGTGTCTGATTCTCTCATAGCAGCTTTCTCTCGGGGTTGTTGCACGGGCTCTGAGGATCGTAATGCAACGTGCGTAATCATCGGAGATCTCAATGCTGTGTAAGTAAGCGTCAGATGTTGCGGCTGGTGTTCAGACTTGTGGAGAAACTCTGCTGCGAGTATGCTTACCTGAGGTTTCGATCGTTGTCATCTCGCAGTATTCTCTCAATGGATATGCCCTAACTGGCGAGGTAAGAATCATCTGGATTTGATAGTGAAGATTGAGATGGCTTAGCGGATGCCAGTAGATTAGGCCCTAGCGCTGTTGTACATTTGACGTTGCGCTATGATGTGGCTTCAAGCCAAGGATGCGCGTGTTGAAGATAAGTTCTACTTAAAGTGCCAAGTCCGAGACTGCCCGTGTACACACGGAGATTTTTAACCATAGGTTCCCGTTCGGTAGGACGATGCTTATCTCTTCGAGCGCCGTTCCATGCATAGTAGACCGGGATGCCGCACATAGCTGTGGCCTCAGAGACGTTTCAGTTATCTTAATTTGGCCAGGACTGTTTTCTTCTTGTCGCTCTTGATCCACTAATTTCTGACGAGATCGACGGGCTCCTTGACGAGGCGAGTGGTGCATAACTCAATGACTTGTGCATCAGCAAATGGTTGCGCTCATCCCGAGGGATGAGCAAGAGTCCTTGATTCGATCTTGTCAAGCTGCTCCGGGCGGCGATCTGCGATCTCCGATGGATTTATTGAGATCTGTGAGACGGTATCATATCTTGCTGACTGCGAGGTCCGATTGTGCGACCAGTGGGCGTGGTGGGCTCTGAGGGGATAGTTAGCAGCTGGCTACTGTTGGACCTGACACCACTCTCCAGGCTATTTTTCTGGCTTCCCTTTTCTTGTTTTCTCTCTCCTTAAGTCGTCTCGATAAAGTTATGAGAAAGCCAATACATATGGGCTGGACTGGAATCATCTCCTCGCGTATATCTGTGGTGTGTGATAGAAGCCTTGGCCGTATTCCTCAGTGGATCTTACCCCACATGCGATCAGATGATGGACTGCACATCTTGTGTCACATTTCTGCAGTGGGATTACTTGATCTGTGCATGCATAAGCTAGAGGCGCAGTTGCGATGAACATTCGAACAATAATAGCATAGTGGCTAAGCATTGCAAGGCCTGTTCGTGGCAGTACAACAGCTGCCAACTGAACTACCTCTACCCACCTAAGCACTTCCTGCTGCCGTTGCTGCCCAGGTAAAGTACTATGAACTAATTCCCCGAATGTGAAGTATGCGGCGTCGATAGCCGTTGGTGATTCAGGATCTGACGTGGCGCCGCCTGATTTGTGGACACGCTCTCTGCCGATGCATTTTCCTGCGTCAGGTGCTGAGCGCGTAGAGCAGGCGGCACAAGAGACATTTAATGCGCTCCTTGCCCTTGCTTTTTTTTCGATTGTCTTCCTTCTTCTCTCTCATTCTTATATGGACTCTTGAGGTATCTTCTGATCGATATTTGACTGGAAGCGCTACTTTCAAGAGCTGACGCAGCTGAAGTGAGATATCGGTGTTGTTTATTCTTCGTTCGCCGGGATGACTTTGCGGAAGTCGGCTCTATATCTCTATCGCGTCGAGAGCGATCAGTCGAGGGGTCAAAAGGTTAGGAGTGGCGGTATTGAGTCTGAGGGACGCCACTGGGTCGCATTTCGACCTCAAAGCAGGAGACAAAGGGTGGAGTTGAGGGATGAACTGTGGGCGCACCTGGATTGGAGGAACCGAGAGCCGACAGCATTCGTTTCGGCTTCGCAGGACCGAGACTGGGCGATCAACCAAGCCGAGAGACGTGCGCGTGACGGAGAGACGAATGTCAGGGTGTACGTGATTGAGGTGCCCCGTCTGGGAGTGTATAAATCCCGATCCGAGTGCTGGGTGACCGTTATGAAATTGGATGCATGGCTCGAGGTGGCCAACTCCAAACTTCCTGATTATGCTGACTTCCCGTCCTCGGCAAATGAATATCTGTTCCTTCATGATATCCCAGAGGACTTTATTGTTGACACTTGGTCGTTTTGATGTTCTGGTGGTTGGAGATGAGGTGGAGGAATGGTGCCTCGGCGGAATGCAGTCCGTTTGTTGATGTCAGTAGCAAGTTGAGCTTGTTTCTAGTCGTTGCTGTTGGGCGGATATTGGGCAAGGGCATGTAGATCTCATTCATTTTATTTTCTTTGTGCGACTGATATCAGCTGTACCTTCATTCGACTTTCGGGAGACGTACAATTGATGATAAGGTGTTCGTGAGCGTTGATGAGGCCCTTCAAAAGGTTCGCCTCGGCCTCGAGTTGGAGGGGACTTCTGGCATTCATACACACCTTCACTGTTATTTGGGATGCCATCATCGACGTGCCTTTAGCGATGCTGAAACATATATTCGCATTCAGACAGCAGCCGCGTAAGAGCCTTCAAACCTCAGGCTAATAATCGGTCGAATCCTAAGGAGTATTTCAAGCTGTGATACTCGGTTATAGCATGAAGTCTGAAGCTGGCGTAACAACCATTCCAATCAAAATAAAACCACACAATGACTATGAATTGAGCCATGGATGCTTGAATGCTAGCTGAGCATAATTTTACCTCATAAACTATAGTTAAAGACCATTTTTATCAATTGGACAATATGGCCGAGCGGTCTAAGGCGATAGACTAGAAATCTATTCTCTTCGGAGGCGTCGGTTCAAATCCGACTGTTGTCGTTTTTGCCTTCTGTTTTTCCTTGCTGCTGATCCTGAAGCAACCATAATCTGGACGGCTGAATGCTGGCAATCCACGAGCTAAGCAGAAAATAATCTTTAAACCAAAACTCGACCCGACAGCTGTGTCGATCGGGATGGAATAGGTGTTGAATGCTGTTGGGGCTGGCCATTCTTCGGATGAAGCAGCCAACACCGAGTCCAATGGATATAGCCAAAAAATGACAGCCGAGATCCCATCCTCTTTGTCTCCGTTTATAATAGTCCCCTGGGTAATTTCCGACTCAAACACATCCATTGTCCTATCATCACTTGTCCTCGGTAATCTCCTACAATCTTATGGCCGCCACCCTCATAGAATGACGTCTTCTGAGAATCTCCAGCTACGAACCCGCTCGTCCCTTATCCAGCATGAAACAAACATCGCAGTTGGAATATAAAAGCACTCGTCACACCAGATTCAGAGATAGCTCCAACCAACCCACCCAATCCCAGAAAGTTTACCAACGGCTAGTAAGATTTCCCTCCACAGCAGAAAGAACAATGCCTTCATCAAGGAGAGAAACCCACGACCTCTGGGCCCTAGATTTCTGGGTTGAACGCAAGCGGGACCTCTCGCTCCCGTGCTTGTTGGTACTTCTCCAAGACCAGATTGGAGCACGCATTCACGAGGAGATCTTCACTCCGCCGGAGATTGCCCCAAGCCTGCATTATGTCATGATCCGGGTCATCACACGCGACGGTGAGTGCCTCGAATCAGCCCACAAGGACCTTGACTCCAAGCTCTGTCGACTGATGGCTAACGAGGACTGGGAACACGAGGAGCAGACCGAGCTGAATTGGTCCACCAAGATGCTGCGTCGTGTACGGAAGGACGGTCAGAAGGATGGCTATAATCTACAGTTCTGGAAGATCCAGGAATTCCCCCGCGACAGTATTGAACCCGTGGATTTCGCTACCGCTGAGGTGGGCCTTCGGGTGCTCGAGCTTATGAATGAGTGGCAATGAGAGCATTGCGGAGCATGGATCTGGGGTGGTGGCTTCTCAGTTGGAAGGTCACTCCTCTCTGATTTGAATATGTTAAGTATGAATATGAATATTTCCAATGATTGTCTTTTCCGTTCTATTGATATGCAGTATCAGGGAGTTAGGTTATATGACCGTAAGTGGCAAGTGGCAAGCAAATCTAGGCCTGCAATTCACTTGACTGATTGCATCTCTGGTCCTTGAGCTATCGCGCGCTAAGGCTTCTAGATTGCATCGTGCCCCACCCGCTGTCAATCTTTCTATGGCTGCATTTACTTTTCTGAATATTTTTCCCCAATTGATTGACCGCATCTGGGTTATCAATTTGATGTTCTGTGCTCATTGGTGCTGAGAATCCTTGTCAGCCGCAAGTTTGCTGTGTTTGTGGCTAATTTTCTGTTTACTTCCCCTCATAGTCTCTCATAACTACTCCGTACCCCACTTTTGCTCTTCCTTCTCCTTCCTCACCTCCTTTGGCAAACAACCTGAACACACCATCTGACGCCTCCTCCTCTTTCTTCTGCCTTTCAACACCCATGACTTCGACTATCAAGCAATAGTGATTATTTTGTCATGGCCGTCAAAGGCCTGCTGTTCATTCGTTGCCGGGGTAGGTACTTTGCGTATGCCAACCGATGGGACAGTTATCCGGAAGGTCTGGGCATAGAGTTGTTCGACACTATCCCCGAAGATCCCATCCAGTACCAAGGCATGTCACCGGTACAGAATACACCCGCCTTTCTCCAAGCAAGTCTTTCTAACCTCTCAGTCAGCATGGCTCGAGGCTCTTCGCTCCACGTTTTCGCGTCTCGTCCACCAATTCGAAACGCAATGCCTCCCTGTCGCCATCCAGTCCATCGACGAGGACTCGAACGCCTCCCTCGCTGAGCGCTACGAGATGAGCTACTTGGCCCTCGACGACCGGCTTAAATCGCCCCCTTTACAGCTAATGCCCCCGGAATGGCGGAGCGGAGATCATGAATGGGTTTACACCATCGACTTGGACAAGGAGATCTTCAGCATCGACAATGCCGTTCATTTCCGGCTCTCCAGCATCGCCAGCGACCGGAATTGGACCATGTACCTCGGTAAGGATGCTCGTCGTCGCCGCGCGCCTGCCAAGTGGACACCCTCACATGTGCTTGCCGATCCCACCTTCAAGCCTCAGGTGAACGAGACCCTGGTTGAGATGTTCAACCGGCTCAAGGTCGAAGTGGTTGCGCCAGAGTCCTTCTATCTCCCTCAGGATATCTCCTTTCTTCGTGAATCTTTTCTGGCCTCAGCGTTCACAAGATTGCAGGGGCACTATCGCGATCTCCTGGACGGGAGCTATCTTGAATGGGGCCCCACAGACTTTCCTTTTAGAGAAATAGCATATGCTATCGTGTCTCTGGCCACGGGTGCTGTGTCGTTTGCGAGTATCAGTTCCCTGGATGCCAACCACAAGAAGGAAGGGTATTATCTTGTTCATGGTGAAAAATCTTCATACTCTGGGTTTCCGAGCCTCCGACCAACCCTGCTGCCCCGATTTTTGCACGAGTCACACTATCCCGGGGTGGAGGCCGGGTCGGCTCCCCGGCAAACAACGTATTGGTTGGATAGTGTCTTGGTTCACTTGGTCTCGGGCCTAGACCGCGTCGACATAGAAGAAGCCGCGATTGCCGAAGCTGTGGGAGCCGGACTCGAACAGGGGCGAAAGTCATTCTATGCAATCGTCTTCTCGATTTTGGATGTTATCCTGCTGCGTGTCCAGAGGAAACCATGCCTGACCGTTCTTGTGAAGAGAAGTCCACTTATGACATTGTTCGAATTTGATGACACTAATTCTTCGTTCGCAAGAGGGCCTCGGAATAGATTGCCTCGCAATCTTGGGAACGTCAAGGAATCTAAAGATGGCACCAGATCTCATAGCAATCTTAGGGCCGATGATCTTACCCAACCCCAAAGCCATGACCGTCAACTGGATGATGACGCTAACAAGTCACTGACAATGCGCCTTGCCGGGAAGATGAAGTATTCCATTGTCTTCGTGACACTATTACGTTTCTTCGACGCAGCCACGTATCATGATCTGGAAGGTGCCGTGTCCCATGTATTGCCGAACGAGACCCTGGCGACTGTGATGCAGTTCACCGATACTCAAACATATCGCACGCTTAGCAAATTGTCAGCTTATTGCCGCAAGACCAGTCTTTCCGAGTTTCGGCTGAATGACCATTGTACCATCGTTGACTTTGATCTCCACAGTACCTCCTACACTTTGGTCGACAAGCGCACGGGAACGCAGAGCACCACTCGACTCTGTCGTGCGGGTTCCACGCGAGGATGCAAGGAATTAGTACTGTCCCCGATCATCGGAATCGAAGGCCCCTCAAGGCGCAGTATCATCGATTCTGTGCAGTTGCACTTTGTGAACGTCCCTAGCAGGGAAGCACCTTACACAAAAACCATTGCAATGCCGCGCAGGTAGGAGTGTGCCTCCCAGTCATATCATGGGCAGTGGGGTTGGGCAACATCTGATCTCTCATCACAGAGCGGCGTATGACCGATTGGCTTACCCCGGCTTCGCTCCCTCCATCAACTTCGACATGCTCTTCCATCTTCCCGACCATCTATATGTTGGGTCCGTCGAGGAGGGCTGGGACCGATATCTCAAGAAGTTAATTCGAAGATATCAGGATGAGGAGGACAGCCCCGGCTCCAGTTTTGATACGGGGCTGTTCGACTGTGTCCGCCCACCCGGATACCGTGAGATCACCATGGACGCCTTCCGCTGTAGTGGCTTCCACTGTTTCCTGCGCCGCGCCCGGGATGAGAGTGTCGACGAATGGGTGTCCACCACGCAATTTGCCTTGCGTCGTCTGTATATTCGCGAAGGCTGGGGCGGCGGGTATGAGGCGGAGGAGAGATTCCCCCTTCCCGGGCGGCCCGTCGTGGTCGCCTTCTCCGCCCGTGTCGGGCTCTTCTATTATGTGCATCATCGCCTTGAGAAGCCCATTTTACCGCCGGGGGTAGGGTATCATAGCCTCGAGATAGCGGAGAGATGCACCGATCCTGACCTGCAGCGCCGCCTTGTTCCGCTGATCCCCGGGGTGATCGACTTGAGGAATTACTCGTCCCGGGTCGAGTTTGAGAGCTGGTTTGAGCGGTTCTGCCATGGCGTCGGGGAGAAGACGGTGTACGATCCGTTCACTGACCAACAGCAGCCTCTGACTCGTGTGCCGGAGCCACAGCCTCATCTAAGTAAACAGCCTATGACTAGTACGGAGCCTGTTGGGAGCGATGTGGTATATGATTTGCCTTCTATGTATAGGTCTTTAGGGTAGCTGGGAAGGCTACTGCTGTTGCTGTTTGTATACGTAAGGGGGCTCAGGGGAACTAGTACTGATTGGACAGAGGGCGAACTAATAGCACACTGAGTCATTGGCTTTGTAGACTGAACAGGGCTATCAGACATATAGGGAAGCGATCATTGACATGGGCCGAGAGATTCAGTGACTAGATTCTCTCTAAACTTTGATAAGAATTTTCGTTATCTTCGGGAGTTCCTTCTGTCATTTCCGTGCCAGCTCCCGGTGAGAAGTCGGGGGATGTCCGACATAAACCCACCAGCAGCTTTACTCATGTCTCAGGAGGAACCGTTCACAACTGCTATTGTCCAGCACAATGAACATTAGGCGGGCTTCAATCGAATAACCTGAACCACAAGCCCATCTCTTTGTCTCTTCTGCAATGGGGGGTTCTGATGCACGACAAAGCTCATTCACGAAGGACATGGCCTTTGTCCGACGAAGTCCAGTTGTTCTTTGTCTGTTAAATGATATTATGTCTTAGGCCGGAAGGGAAATTGATAAATACAACTTATGTGAACTATACCAACTCGATTGCTGATTCTACTTCTGCTTTCATCCAAGATACCTCGCAGCTCACTATAGTCATCGAGATACGACTTCCTCCATTATATCAACATCCAATCCAACAACTCCAGAGAGAGTATACCATCGAACATGTCCTCCGAGCCTCCCCGAGCCCCCAAGCCCAAACGAAGCCGAAGGCTATCTCTCGTGGCCTGCAACCGAGCCTGTTACGAAAAGACTCGCCATCTCACTCCATATGCTCTACTCGAGCTCGACCTCCGACAAGAGGACTGCGTCGCGCATCCTGCCCGGTATGCCTGCCATCTTCTGCCTTTCCCATCTGTTCATCGAGGATACTGACATCCAGGATCCAGAGCCCGCACCTTCGCCTCGGAAGTATACAGCCACCTCTCCGAAGCGCAACGAGCCCACATCCGACAGCTGGCCAAAGACGGCGGGCCCGATCTCTCAGATCTGCGGGGTGTACGTCCGCCCCATCCTCATCCCCAACCCTGATTCCCTTCCCTGCCCATCATCAACCCTGAAAACCCACGCCAACCGATACTGATCCTGATACTAACATGATGGACGGGGTAAATAGTACCCAAGAACACAGCGTGCCAAATCCCCCGGCCCCACCGCCCCCGCCTCGGCCTGGGCCTCCGCCTCCCACCCGCCCTCAACCCTACCCCCAACAAGCACCTACACCCCCAGCATCGAAGAACCATCCCCGGCCTCCTTTTCGCCCCTCCACCCCCCCTCCCCGCCAACCTCCCACACCGCAACCGCAA